AATTTTTCACTTGAAAAATTTTCTAAAAAAATTCATCATTCTCGCAATAATGGGAATTCCCGGAAGCAGTGAACAGATCTGAGTTTCGTATCGTCCGTAGATCCGAAATGGACAAGAATGGGCCCTTGTGGAGCGATTTTTAATTTTTTCATTTTTTTAAAAATTTTCAGTTGAAAAATTTTCTAAAAAAATTCACCACTCTCGCAATAATGGGAATTCCCGGGAGCAGTGAACAGATCTAAGTTTCATATCGACTGTAGATTCGAAATGAACAAGAATGCGCCCTCGTGGAGCGATTTTTAATTTTTTCATTTTTTGACAATTTTTCACTTGAAAAATTTTCTAAAAAAATTCACCACTCTCGCAATAATGGGAATTCCCGGGAGCAGTGAACAGATCTGAGTTGCGGATCGACCGCAGATCCGAAATAAGGGAGAATGAGCCTTCACGGAGTGATTTAAAATTTTTTCATTTTTTGGATTTTTTGAATATTTTCAAAAATTCCGTCGATTGACGCAATTTGTTTATTTAAGCTTATCTATTTAGAAAAATATTTGAAATCCCGGTTTTTCATAGAATTTTCAATTTCTTCCAGAACTCGTGATTTATTCAAGATTTTAATGGATAATTGAATTTTTAACAAATTTCTAGATTTTTGGATTCGTTCTAAAAATTAAATGTTAAATAAATTCTCTTTGAAATGGATCGAAAGTGCGGAGAAGTATGAGTACCGAGAAAATTACCGGATGATCTCTCGTCATTACGATTGACTATCCTAAAAATAAAAATAATGACCGGCGGATGAAGGAACCAATTAAATGAAAAAATCGTGCAAAAAATGAGGGTTCATGCTACTTTATCGTCAATTAATGGGTAATACTTGAGGAACATCTGCTTGACGTTATGCATATTGGGCCCAGAGGATCGGCCAATCAGTCAGTTATTTTAATTATCGCCTCTACGCATTTACGAGTGGTTAATCGCCTTGAGATCTACTGTCCCACTCTCTGCCTTTTTTTTTTCTTGAAGTACAATCTTGGTCCATCACCATAATATCTACAACGCGGCTTTTTCTACCTCTTATAATACCGGTAACGAAGGCACCCAATAATCAAGATTGTACCTTTGCCGGTGACTAATTACATTCCTCACCCGGTGGCCTGGCTATCCGTGAATCTATCAGCCGATAAATTGATAATGCGTTAATTTTTTTAATTGCAATCCCGGAATAGACACGCCAGTCGATACTCCCTACAATATTGAGCATCGAAAAAAATAATCACTCGGCGCAATTACTAAAGTCCAAATTCATTCAAATTCTTCTTGTATAATAAATAAAATGACGAGTAACAAAAAATTAATTCCAGAATACAAAGGAAAATTCGAGTTCCCATCGATTTTTTAATGTCGACTAAATAATCATGATCACATCAAAAAAACCTATACTCCATTAATTATTATCAACATTTTATTGAGTTCGAAGTAAGAAATAATAATAATAATTAATTGTTTATGAGAAGAGGAGTAAATTTTTTTTTCTAAAGAGGACTCTGGTGAATATCTCAACAATAGTCAATCATCGTTCGCATAAATCAACAAAAAAAAAAAAAATGGACTTCCATTCGGAAGCGGTGGATTGACTTGCCTAATGAACTCTTAAAAAACCTGGCAGGCACAAACGCCTCGCCGATGAATCGATCAATTCACTGGGGGACGATTAATCACCGGAGCCCATCCCCTTTTAACCGTTCGATCCCATTGGAAACCTCCAGGTACACCTCATTACGCCCAACGATACTCACAATCGTATAATATTTCCACGCATTTATCAAACTTAAATAAACCTATGGAATTACTCTTTGTTCCAGCAGAAGGTGAAATTTTGGTTCGCCACAGGAGGCGCGGGTTTCTGTATCAGTCGTGCCCTGGCTCTCAAGATGGTACCAGTCGCTGGGTGAGTCTGCATTTTAATTATTTTATCGTAATTACTCATTCCTCAGGACTATCGGTTACTCAACGGCACTCGTTATTTGATTCCACCGTTGAGAAATTACACTTCAAATGACCGACAACTAATTGCCGAATTATTTTCATTCTGGGGATTCTCATTTCCATATTTGACACTTAAGCGAGAAAATTATTTAACATTCGAGCGATTATTTTCCTGAGGATATTGTGTTGAATATTTACCGGAAAAATGGTTTTTTACTATAGAAATATTACGAATGGAAATTTCCAAAATTAGTCTTTTGATGTTTAAATTTTGAATTGATGAAATATGAAAGATTCAATTAGTCTGGGATTTTTTCACGTCTATCCAATGGAGAATTGTCGAATGTATTGAGTCATTGGAGGTAATTTCAATCGGTAATTATTTCATGAGGGGATAAATGCAGAGTCTGTGGGGATGACAAAAAAATTCAGAGAGATTCATTCATGATGCCGAGGTGAAATTCAGTTGGGCAATCCCATCACGTCTTCACCGAGGGAGTCCGCATTGTTTTTATTTTTCCCTTTCTGCTCTCTTTCTACATTTTTTTTTTGCACCCACCAGCATGCAACTCCCATTTAACCTGCCTGGTATTTTCATATTCTTATGGTGGGTGTGTATTGTACGATGTGGGGGCTACTGCACCAACTCTCCAACGGGAATCGACTAGTCGTGTATAACTCGAAATAAATAAACGAATAAGACCTCCATCCACCGGATATTGTGTACTCCATCGTCCTCTGTACAGTGGGTACATCGGCAAGTGCTTTTCCCTAGTTTATGTCGGGAGTACAACTTTTGTTTACGAAAAATCACGATTTACTGCGCAAGTTTTCTCCACCCTCCCCCCTCGGAAAAATAATAACAATAATCCTGAATTTTTTAAATATATAATATATCGACGCGTCAGTACTATACACTTCGAGATTATTAATAAATTTTGCGGTATTTTCGGGACAGTTTACCATTAATTGTTTAGTCACCGCTCATTTGGAAAATATCTTTACAAAAATTGTTAACAATTTCAATGTTGAGTATCTCTTGATATAAAAATGATACAAAAGATATTGCAGTGAGGTGCAAAGATCCCGGTGCATAAATGACTTGATAATGCGAGTGGAAAAAAAAATAATATGATAATGAAATCCCGTGACATTTTTTGAAAAGCCCGTCCCGGACGTGGCGTTTCCTCACACCGGCAATTATCGCAGTCAGCGAAGCCCATTCTTCAGCTACCAGATGGGTTGGAGGTGCGTTCTCACGTTGAGACCCCTCGGATGGTACCTTCTGTGGTAGTTACAGAAGACATCGACCGTTCCACTCAGTGCCCCGCAGAATCGCCTTGAGAATAACAACATAAACTTCATGCTCTGCCTTATTTTTTCCCCGTCTCTTTTTTTTTTATCTTTTTACTCTCATTTTTTTCTTTCCACCGAGCGATTCGATTCGATCGTATTATCTGTCACTCAGGGACTGAGGGATGGGGCCCCCATTGGGTACGGCTGTGGAGTCTTAATTAACCCTTGATAAGCAAGAAAAAGACGAGTCGTGACAGCGATACGAGAACTTTGTAAGACGAACCGTTGATTCCCGCCCACGCATGTTATCTCTTTTTATCTTGAGGCATCACTCGGTGAAGGACAACTCCGTTCTTCCTATCTGCCCTCGTAACATCCTTTTTTCTTATCAAATCTCAGAAGTAATGGGACTGCCTGCAATGTCGTGACTATTTTTCATCCATTTTTTCATTTGAATTCATACTTCATTCATACTTCAATTGAATTTTAACAATTTTCTCATTTTACCTCGCTAATTAACACTGATAGAATGTTAATAGAATTGACCGGAAATAATTTGCATTCTATTATTATTTCATGACTCACGAAATTTCACGTCTCGTCAAATTTTTTTGGTATTCCCAAAAACTTGGAAAAAAATAAAAAAATAATAGACATTGCGGCAATTAAAAAACGAAAGAAAGTGATAATTGGTAATTAAGATGGACATCAGTGAAATATATTATATATATTATATATTCTGGGGATTACTCCGGAGTAAATTTGGAATGAAATTTTAATCGTTTTACATTCCATCAATTTTCGTTCAGAAACAGTTAATACGTTTTTAAATAACTTTTGCATCCTGGCTATAAATCCTTCAGACTGGTGGAAAAAATGAAAGGGTTTAAATGAAAGAACATTGTCATGTAAGAATATTGGCCGGGGTTAATTGGATTCTTTTTCTTGGGCATATTGGAGGGTATCTCCAATCTTGGCCCTCCGGCAGTAAAACCAATTTGGGGATTCCTTTGGATGAGCTCCTCAGCTGATCTATTAGCAATTCCTTTTCAACTAGTTTCACCGTATTTTTCATGAATTAATCATCGAGCTATCGATCCCCCAGTATTATAATGCATACATTTCCCGTACGCAGGATTCAATTGAATTTCAATCCATGTACTTACACCGTTAATATCAAAGTTACGAGAATTTCATTAATTTTTCTTTCCACTCCGAATAAATCCGAGAACTTTTACGAATTTAATCTAAAAAATACTGCATTCGGTCGATTACATTTCATAGAAAATAATAAAAGCACTTGCTTTATTAAAAAAAAAATAGAAATGCGAATTAAAATTAATGTTCAGAGAAGATGTCACTCTTCTTTCATTAATATCAAATATTCCCGGAATTCCGGGATGCCCTAGTGAATAAAATGGATAAAAGGGAGAAAATCGTACGCAGTAGCGAAGGGTGCGAGGGATGAGAAGAGAAAAATGCAGAAATGCTGAAGAAAAAATAGTTGGGACGTTGTCTCACCCACTTAACCCCGAAATTTCGATTTCGACAGCTGGTATTTTAACGAGGCCGATATTCTCGTGAATTTGCTCAGATCCTTGCTTTTTTTTTTCCTCTTTCAGTTCCTTTTGATTTTATTATTTCACCCGATCGCGAATCGGCGGTGGCGGTGCGTTAGGAAAGCCAAAAGTCCCCGAAGAATGATACGGGTTTCAGTGTAAAAAGGTGGAAGTGAAAAACGATTGTGAAATCATGGGCAATGGGAGATGGATTTTGCCCAACTAATCTGGCCAATTAAAAAAGCGTCCGGAGGTAAACCTAAATGTTTACGGGGGCCTACGAAACGATCGCTCGTCCTGCGGGGGTGGAAGGGGGTGGCAAAGGCGGGGGGGGGGAGGGGAATTCGACCTGTGGTATTCACTAATGAGTCAGTCCCTCTTTCTGGACGGTGAAGAGACGCGTCTCTCCGTTCTCCCTTTTCTGTCCAATCGAAAACAGAAAATGTTAATTAACCACTTGCTGGACTAGTTATTTTCTTATCCACTTTTAATTGGATGCGACAAAAATTTCACGACGGGGGATGAAAAATACCGCGCGGTTGTTATCGCTCTGCACCACGCACTCAATCAATTTAATTAAAGACAGAGAAAATTACTCTGAAAAATTAAATGATTTTTGTTATCGGGATATTCTTGGTCCCAGTGCAACAGGTTAATAATTTAATTGTTAAATTACTCCATATAAATTGATTACATTAAAATAATCGAGTATCGAGGGGTCATTAATTTAGGAGCGTGTAATTGCGATGAATTACAATGGCCCCGAGTGAAGAAAAATCAATTGAAAAAATAATTATCCGTGGATTACGAAAAGCCGAGCTATTTTCAACACTTCTCTCACCATTTAATACTTCCGTTAATCAAATCGCGAATCACTGGGGCAACGACTATCCATTACCCTGTGAGATAAGAATATACATCCAGTTGTAGGAATGGAAATTGTCTGATTGTGAGCTCCCAAAGGGGCGGCACTCTACGCCATTTGAATACCTTTAGCATTTCAGCTGATTAGGGAAATGACGGTTGATTAAATAAAACAAATGGACAAAATTGCCAATGGAGAAATAAAAAATTGAGAATTCGCGTCGTGGGGACGGCAAATCCTTTGAGATATTTGTCCTGGCATTTTTAAACGGTACACTTACATTTTATCCACTGAAAAGGGCTCATGTCCTTTCAAACCTGCGACTACCTGTTGCCCCTCCCCCCGGCCCCCTCTCCCACTCACTCCCTCCCTCCCACCACCCTAATTGGCTCGATTTATATATACCAATCCATCGATACAAACTTCTTTCTCCCGATTCACCGCTTCCGCGGTTATTTTTAGTTTTTTTTTAATACTTAACTCCACTTCATAGATAATTTATTTTTTTTTAATCATTTTTATTATTCGTACACTGGGAAAAATCTCGGAGAAATTACGTGAAGATTTCGTAATCCGTGAGGCGAAGGAAAGGTTATAATTAATTATTATTGAGTTCCATAATTTATTGAGACGTGTCGGTTTAATATAAATAAATTTTAATATAACAATTTAGGGGTTCATTGCCCATCGATGGGAAAAAAAGTTTAAATAAATTGCTGGATAGATTAAATAAATTGAATTCAATTAATTAATTTGATATGGTGGAGTGATGTAATTGGGATAAAGATCTCGATGCATTTTTTTTCTGGTAAAAAAAATCGTAGAGTAACGAAAAAGTTGACAAAAAATCCCGCGAAAATTGAATAATCCGGGAATAATCATAAAGATGGTGAATAAAAAATGCCAGAATGTCCGATAAAAAAAATACGCGGTAGTTACGTCCTCTTTACGATGCATTCTACAATTTCAATCATAAAGTTTTCCATGGAAATTGACAGAACGCGACTTAGAGTTCAATTTCGCGAAACTTTTCACTCCATGTGGAATTTACACGGTGATTCATGCCATTTCATATCCACCTCACAAATTTCACGGAATTTCATTTCCCTCGCGACTGCTGCAGTGTAATTATTTATAGAAATTGTATTTTTTTTTTCATTTGTAAGGATTCCGGGGTGATGCAGATTAGACGACAGGTTGACGTCCAGCACCTGCTGTCCTTTCGCGTTTTACTGATAATTTGCGTTGCCTTGTTTGATATGAGGGAATGAGATAGAATGGATTGGATAAAGTTGTATGCGAATAATTCACTCATACGCACCGAGCCGGTGTATTGATTAATTCACCCGAGGCGGTGCGGATGTACCTCTCGATGGCTTTATCCCGCATAACCATCAGGCATTCGTTAATTTTACATTTTATTTCACTCACGTTGTTTTTAATTGAAAATGAACAAGGAGCCAATCTAGCTGGCGAGAATATCGGACTGGGAGGGAATGCCTTGAACATGCCGACATTATTTCCAGGTGTCATGTTGATATCGTAAAAAATTATTAAAAGTATCGAGGGTCATTATCCACTCGTGCATTTTCATATTTTTCCGTAAATATTTATCCGTCTCTCGTTTAATCGAAAAATTTCGATTGCACACAAATATTGAACTGCCCCCGAGGGGCAATCAACTATTCATTTGTCGCTCCATCGCGAATTCATTTACTTTTAATCATTCGCGATTCTCGTTTTTAATCAATTGTTTTTTTTTCATTTCTGTTATTCAGGGGTGGAAAATTTATAACTGTTGGTGACAGAATTCGATTGCCTGATGATGTCACCATGGGATATATTATTGAGCATTTGCTGAAGAAACAATTAACTGTTGTTGAGCAGTTTCATTCACACTTGGAACCTATGAAGTTTCTCAACGAGGACACCTTCCACGAACAGGTAAAAATACAAATGTTGAGTTTAAAAATTTTATTTAAAAAATTCTCCTTCTCAAAATTATGTCCAGTTGTAAATTTTTTATAAGTCCTCATTTTTTGGACTATTTGCAAAAAACCCGCGATTAATCTAACGCTCTCAAAAATTTTTGTGAAATAACATTTATTATAAATTTCTCTCCCCGCGATATTATCAAATGAGATCGCTCGTGGATCCTAAATGATAACACGAAAATAGCGAAGCGTCGGTATCCCTGGAGTTCATGATGAACGACAACTCGACGGGTTGTATACAGTACATATATACATAATATACTAGTACCTTGTAGGTAAAGACCTTCGAGCGATCTCATCGTTACTCAAGTGGCGTGTCTCGCGCCAGGTGTCTCACCACTCTTTGACTTTTGCATTCACGCATAATGAAGAATAAAAACTTTTATGACTTATAGTACACATGAGTTGCAAATTTTTTTTTATGTCCCAGAGATTCGGTGTATACTATCCAATATTTCTGGTTAATGAGGAATATTATGATTTTATTGGGGTATAAATAGGGATATTTAAGAGCGATGAGTGATTTTTTTATTTTACTGGTTTCAGGTATCGTTCAGCTACTCGAAAGATCCCCGAGATGAGTGGAACGTTGTAAAAATCGATGGTTTTCGTCTCAAGGATGATCCAAATAGGTAATTTTGAATCTTTATCCTCCTCTCGTAGTTCTCTCTCTTTTGGCAGACTTTGAAAGCCTCAGAACAGGTTTTCTTCCATTTCAAATCATCGCCAACATTTTTGCAGGTGTTTTTCACTCGATTTCAGCAATTAGATCGTTTATCCAATGATTTTGGATTCATTGAATCGAAATCAAATTTCGTTTTCGCTGTTACAAATTTATTTAAAATTTTAAAAAGTATTTAAAATTTTTTTAATTGATCAGTTTGAATAAAAAATTGACGATAAAAATTTTCCGTGTTCGCCTCAGATGTGATGGAAAAATTGTTATGAGCATTTATTGCAGCCGACAAATGTGAAAGTAGAATTTTGTCTCGGGACTTGAACTCAATGCCGATAACTGTTTGATTTCTCGATCACGTACTTTAGGGAGTACTACCGTACATTTCCCGGTAATCACACCAAGTTTATCAAAAGATATTCAATGTACTCGACTCGTCGAGTCATCGAACGTATTCGTGAGACAAAAAAAATGACTCAAAATTCTCATTACTCTATCCTGAATAATTGCTCCTCCCTTTCTATCCGCTGAAGGCGTCAATTATTTGAATTGCGACGTGCCAGAAGAAGGTCGCTGTGTGATGAGAAATAAAACAAAGGGGACAAGTGACAAGTGAGAATTGCAAGAGGATGACAGCATTCATACACGAGACATGCATTTTTACAGTAAAAGTCGTCGATTGTGAATATTGATAAAAATTGCAACATCCAATTTAAATTCAATTTCACTTTTCAATTCACTTATAAAAACCCAAATAAATTCTCATTCACGCCCTCAATAAATAATTGAGACAATAATATTTTTTATTTACATAACATTTGTTGACAATTTCATTTTTTTTTTAATTTTACAGTTGACCAGTGGTGAGGATTGATTGATATTCGCAATTGCATTGACCCGTTAAATTTCCGTGTTTCAGATTCAGATCAATCCACTGTCGATTATTCCCCCACGAGACTGATTGCTCCAGGAGATGATCCCCCAGGAGGTATTATTTATCGAGAACATCCAAAGAGGCCGGCGATTACAACTCATTGATTTCTCAATGAATTGACATTTTGAGATTATCTGAGGACCTAAATATTGTTACACAACTCTTTGGAGCTGTAAATATGTAATTCACACGTGAAAATGCTCGCAACTTCTCATCGTTAAAAGCGTGATATCTGTAAATATTTTCGATGAGAACGGTGCGAGGAGAAGAATAAGAGAATATTTATATAAATTTATAGCGTGAGGATGAGTTATCATACTGTCAGAGTTCTACCGTTAACAATTGGATTATTTATATGTTTAAAAAAAAATACGAACTCAGAACTAGTCTCGATAGGAAAGCAGACAGCTCTACAATGTGATATCTTAGTCTGTGAGGGATCGTACGATATTTTTTATATCTTTACATTATTTCTGTCTCATCCCCTTTGATCTTTATTTTACCCTGGGATTTTCTCTACACCTGTGTTATCGATTACGTGGGAAGACCTTTAGGAGTGCAATATACGACAGTTGCTTTGAGGCATTTCCACGTTGAAATTTTTTAACTCACAAAGCAATTCGTGGAACAAGAGGAGAAATATTCGAGGCTGATTTAATCAATTTTCTCAAACGAGAAGTACATACCAAGTATGTACTAATGTTTTATTAATATCTTTTGTTGAGTATAGACGAGCACATTGTATTTTCTAATTAATTATTGTTGAACAAATTGTAAAGTAAGATAATAATAATGATATATGAGCAATCGATTTGAAATTTATTTTTACCTTTCATTTTTTTTATCAGTTTCAGGTTTTTGGAGTTCAGATTAAATTGATAAGTTCAATATTTTATTGAAATTTTTAAAAAGTTATTGTTTTTCCCATGAATAATATAGTTATCGATAATGAACCCCCATCTGCTAGCGCAGTACCGAACCGTTCGCCTTCAGAAAGGCAAAGTAGGAATCTCCGCAATTCATTAATTTTTATAAATAAATATAATGCCTTTAAAATTACTACGGAGAATTACGATTACGATTACACACGGTATTTTTTAACTCTAAACTAAAATAATAATAATAATAATAATGATAACAATAAAAACAATAACAATAATAACAATTATAGTAACAATAGTAATAATTTTCTTTGGACTTCATTAAGTAAATTAAAGAAATAATTAATAGTAATCGTTATTATTATTATTATTGTTATTATTATTATTATTAGACGTAGAATTCTCGTTCTCGTATCTGCGATATGATTGAATAATGAAGTACAACGAAAATGTACAATTATGAAAATAGAAATAAAAAACGCGAAAACGAAGTGAGAGAAAAAAAAATGGTTAAAAAAACTGGAGCACTGCACATTACAGCATAGAATGACGCAGTGTGCAAGTACAAAAAGAAGAATAAAAGAAAAAGAAGGAGACGTCCTATATATGGGTCATATTGTCGGTGACATGACCTCGTTCTAACCAGGCGCATCCCGAGCCAAACTTTTCCTAAAAACTAATGTTTGATTCGGTCTCTGGCCTTCTCTGAGTGTCTCCCTTTATGGAACAAAACCGCACCCTCAATTCACCTTCGAAATTTCTAAATGAATTATCACTTATTGCTCTCGATATTTCGATTATTGTTCCACCGCAATTGTCACGGGAATGATTTCTTATCGACACGAGAAAAATTATCCAAATAAATTGAATATTTCCAATTGATTTATCAAGCCATAAAATCGCGAGATCAATTGCTACATTTTTTTTATAACTGAAAATATTTAATATTCAATTTATTCAATCAGCCGGTAATTGGAATCGAGGGAATCGACGGGAATTATTTAATTCGCGGATTTTCTGGTTTATATGAATGTTTGGTTTATTCAATTCTTCGTTATCCCAGAAAGTAGATTGTTAATTTTTTTCTTGTTAAAATTCTGGGATGAAGAGGTAGACTCGCGGTCTTCCGCTCGAGGTGTCCATCTACCCTGGAGTTACCCTATATGAGAAATAACTAGGAGTTGAGCCAAAAGGGGGATGAGGACTGAGGGCGAGAAGAAAATTAGAAAATGATCTTTCACCACTCTACCCAATGGAAACCCATTAACTTACTGTACCCATCCCACCAAAGCTCCTTTTGGCATACCAGAAAGCCCCGGATGAAAAAAAAAAATTGGATCTAACCATAAGGTATTCCATGACTCGAATAATAACACAATCACTCACTCCTTGTTCGAGATATTTCGAGATCGATTTTCTTTCTCCATTTTATATAGGGAACGAGAGTTAATTATAAATTAAACAATTTTCCAGATTTTCCGTATTAAAAAAGCAATATGATTCTCAAATTTTCGTGATTTTTTGAATTTTTAAAATTGATCTGTCCTTCGAGATATTTCGAGATCGATCTCCTTTTGATATTAGGATTTACTCACGTAAATATATTTTCTCCCATCTTCCACGCTCTTGTTCCCCCATTAATAAATTATATTCCAATTGCAAAAAATGTTCTCCAGATTCTCCACGATCTTCTAATTCCCGAAATGTCCAGGATGACTCGCTGAAAGGGAAATGGAGGAATTTCCGGAAAATTGTAGTGAAAAAACAATGAAAGCGTTTTCGATCCCGAGAAAATTGTTTGAAGCGACAGGGGCACTCCCCAAAGGGAATACCCTGATGAGAGTCAAACGCGGAAACTGATGGGATGACTTATGAAGTTTGACAATCGACAATGGAAACGCCGAGAGTAATTAGGTTTTTGAGGTGACTCCAGAGAACGTCGGCTCGTCCTCACCTGGTGTGTCCAGCGGTTGAGGATGTTGGTGACCACAATTGATGGGGTACCAGGATGTCGCCAAGCAGAAGATACTAACAGTTGTACGAGCGAACTGAACATCACTGCAGGAACATCAGACCAATGTTCACCCCCAGGTGAATTCAGTTCCCCAAAATAGTGGAAGATCAAAGAGAAAACCCACTCTAAACAATTCCATCACCATAAAAAAGTCAAATCTTTGCATTATACAAATTATATTTATAAATATTTTAATTATAATTATAAAAACATGTCAACAAACATTATTCGACTTGATTCGAGAATAAATTCGTCATTATGAATGATCAATTGCTTGAAATTATAGTAATATTTTAAAAAAACAATAATTTATTGAAAATAATCTGTAATAATTATAAAAACCTCGAGAGCATTTATTTATAATTATTCATTCGCTATAAGTAATTGAATAATCACACATATTGATTTTTTGTATTACAGGTATTGTTTGCTATTTTTTTATATTCTTTTTTTATTTTTCATCCACGCGGTTATTAAAAAAAATTTGTTGTTAGATATTGTTATAGCGATCCATTGGTTCAGTCTCTCCTGGACATTCGTGTCCGCATCAAAATGCGAGACACGAGTCATTTTATAAAAACGCGAATGTGAAAACTTTTCCAATTGTATTTTTCCAACTGTTTTTCCCATAGCCGTTGATACCGAGAACTCCTGGAGACGTTGAGTGCCCCGAGAACATGAGCTAAGGTAGATGGAACTTAAGGTGAGACACCGCCGTCAATACTTAAAAGGCTTATGTACCCTCATCCCCCTTTTTTTTTATTAGGGGATGAGTATCGGTTGTTGAATTGTTGAAAAACATCGTGGGGAGTAAAATAAAAATAATAATAATAAAAATTACGAGAAAAAACGCGAGAAAACTGCGATTCAATAAAACGTGTGAGTCGAAAGTAAAATTGTCTTTATTTCCCTTAAAAATATAAGACATATTTTTTTATATATGTTTTATAATATAATAATATATTACATTATTTATGAGGGAAAAATATAGAAATACGGTACAGATAATGATTAATGTAAAATAAATTAATTGGGGAAAAGAAAATTAATGAATTTACATCTTCCACGGGTATTTTTCCTGTGGAGATGATCGGGTTGAATCCAGGACGATGAACAATAGTGAAACAAGAGAAAAAAATTCAAGGTGGAATTATTCATCAGAGTAATTGGACTGAACGAGTAAAATGGCCGTTTTTACAGTGCCCTTAAAACACACAAGATGAAGTTTCACTTTCGTTCCACGAATAAAGACGTTGAGCCAGATCTGAAAACAAGAACCCAGAGAAAGGTGAAATGGTGGAAAAAGTGTGCTCCAGGCAGAATGACGTATTTTTTTTTTTATTCTCATGCCTTCCAAGGTTCATTGCGAGGGGTTGCGCGTGCTCAGGATATGACTCGGTTGCTGAGTTCAATCGAAAAGTCTTTTATAGGATCCCGTTTCAAGACTCTCCACCACGTGAGTTTTCACCTCCATTTCCCCTCATTTAGGAAAACTTTTATCGAGACCTCTCAAAATGTACGTCGAGCCCTCGGATTTCATTGACGACTCGACAATAGCCTGTTGTTCAGGATTAAATAACTGGATTCAATGAATGTTCAGACAAATGATCAGTCGTGAAAAACAATTGTACAACTGACGAATCGATGATTACGTCAATTAATTTCTGTGCATGCGCTGATGGTATGATTGATTAATTTCAAACAAAATCCGGTGATCACTAAAACGAATATGACCAATGGATATTTGTTGATAGTTGACGCATGGTTCACTTGAAAGTCGAGTGAAACACGGATTTTTTTATACGTATTCGATATTAACGAATGGATGTTCGGGGAAATGAATAGACCGCACCCATCAACCAGATCCATTTGTTTACAAAAAATAATCCGCTCTGCGTTGCGCGCAGAGAGAAATTCAATAGAAATTACAAAAAAGTGAAAATAACGTTTCGAAATATAACGCACGACCGACGTAAAACGCAATCACAAGTGTCAGTCAAAATTGAAATATATCGTATATCATATATCACATATCATATATCCGATTATCTAATATTTTATTTTATTGAATTGAAGAATTTTTATCGAATCTATTTATCTCAATTGCGAAAATATATTGAATATATTATTTGATATAAAATAGAGTTGAATAATTTATTATTATTATTACTATTATTATTATTGTTGCTGTTATTGTTATTGTTTTTGCTGTTATTGTTATTGTTGTTGTTGAAAAATATTAGCTAAATGTTTGTCGTGTTAATATTGTGGATTATCCAAGTCTGTTTGTTCGGAGAACTTCCACGGGATTTCTCCATCAAATATATCCAATATATCCATATATTGTTGTACGTGTTTGATGAGTCGATTGTATATCGGTACTTTCTTTGGGCATCCCATGGTATTATATATCCCGTTGCCATCGGTTATTACCGAGTCAATATTCGCGAGTGCATCGTAATATTGCACAAAGCGGCAGGTGTATTGCAAATCAGTAGATATACCAGATACAAACGCGTTTGTATATGTTCGGATATCGCGACTCGCTATATTCCAATCACGAAATACCGGGAGTGATGATAAAAGGGGTGATCCATAAAGCTGAAGTCAGGGTACACCGGAAATCCCTAAAAAACCACGGGAATTCTAAATATTTTTTTGTAAAAATGTCACAAAATTGATCCTCACATTTTCATTACAAAAAAAAATTGAAACTCTTGACGTATCGTATTGTTGTTTATAAATCTAGAAAAATACCGGGAATTTCTCTTCTAAATTTCCAATTTGTTGTAAAATTGAATTAATTCGATTCTTCGATTTTGAGATTTCGAAAATCACAATTAGAAATAAAATTTGATTCCCATTGATTAATTATTTAGTTACTTCATTAATTAGTTATTTGATTATCAGGTTGAATGAGTAATTTCATGGGTAATTCAGTGGGAAATTAACTTCATGGAGGATTTTTCAAGATTAAATATATTTGTTAATTAAATTTTATTTTTTTCTACTAGTTCAAGTTCTACGTGAGTGACTGAAGAGCAGTGCGACAGCGTAATGCACGTCGCGGGGTATTAAGGGATCATCCATAAGGTTCAAGTCAGGGCAGTGGAAGAGGGCAAACATGACGTACACCATCGAGGTAAAAAGTCACAGAATTCCCAAAAAAACCGTAAAAATCACCGATAACATCTAAAATTGCAATTTCAAGCGATTCAAAAATCCAGAAATAAAATACAATATTAATTTCCAAACTCCCGCGCCCCATCCATAAAAATAGTTTCAAAATATTTTTCTGAAAATCAAATCAGACCATCCCCACCAGAATTCCAACCCACCCTCTCACAATTCCATAACTCTCAATACATATATATATATATTCTGCACGTGCAGAATAAAAATTATTCACTCATAAAAAAAAATACCGCCAACAATTAGCTGATCTCGTCCTGAGCCTCAACAAGAGATTCATCAGCTGTTCAAACTCGCTCAGGCAAATGAAGTCAATACCTCGATGTAAAAATGCCCCCCACCCTCTCCCCCCTCGGAAAATAGGGGCGATAAAAAATGGTTAGTGTCACAGGTATGTTGACAGGTCGTAGCAGTTGGGTATGGATGCGTCCAGCGGATTGTATACGAACGCGTGATCGATATGGAGGGGAGAGTCGTAGTGAAATGGCGCGGGTTTGGCTCGGGCGCCGCGGCTCCAGGGGGGTAGCGGCTCCAGGGGTAGTAGCGGCTGCTGGCGACTGCACGAGAGGGGTATGTTAAAAAAAAAAAAATGAAGAAGAAAAAAAAAATCCACCCTCTTCCCGGTGTTGGTGTACGATGATGGGGGTTGGTGGTGGCGAGGGGGCGGACGGACGCTTTCGCGAGGACGGGAATTGCGGGGTGGCGGGGGATTTGGGGATGGAGGGGGTTGGAATAGGGATGCCGCGCAGCGTGTGCTGAGCAAAAGCATCATCCACCCCCCACCGTTGGTTGAACGTTTTGAGGGTACGTGCGGGTTTTCACTGTTGAAGCCAGCTCAGTGATACCCGCGTCTTCGTCGCGTAAACTTCAACGCGCAATCTCCTGACAATTTCTCCTCCCCTCGCCCAACCCGTGCTTTTTCTAACTAGGTCAAGCCCACTTTCTGCACGGCTCGCTATTTGTAGTGGCATCACAGCCGGCCGTGCAGGAACGACCTATTGCACCTCACCGTCAGTAATTTTTTTTTTTAACCCGTTTTTACGTTTTGCGATAAAAAAAAGTTACTCAGTGAACCCGCGAACCCGCGAACCCGCGAACCCGCCAAGTCGCGAAGTCAGACGATGCAATTTTTTTTTACGTGGTTCAATTGGTTGTCGTTTTCCACCGGCTTGAGTGACACCACTGGATGAATGGATTTATCACGGAGAATGGTATTACTTTTATTTATTTATTTGTTTATTTTTTTTGGCGTTTTGAGGGCTGTGTGGAAATGTTGCGCAACTCGCGGGGTTAGTATTTCCGAGGAATTATTACGCCAATCGGGGATGGCGCAGATGCGTCGATTACGAGGTCGAGGTCATCCTGGGAATCCTTTTTCAGGATTAGGAGGGAATTGTGTGATTTAGGGTGATATCAGGAGTTGGGGGAGTGAGAATTTTTATTGTTTTGTAAATACTGATTGATTGAATTGATCGAGAATCCAGGGGATGGATTGGAAGTTGCTGTTCTGATGATAATTTCAGGGTTTTCCGTTCTCATTTCACCATTTCCGAAGGGGAATTGAATAAATTCGAAATTTCGAGTCATGAGAATTTATATGGAGGCGTCAATTGCGAAATTTCCCTCTTTGCTATTTGAGAAATAAAAACTTTCTCCATTTCGTGAAAAACATCAATTTTTTTATATTAATCAATTAATTTTCATTTGGACCTTTCGTACCTATTGCATACATATTAATCTAAACGTCTGCGATGATCTATTTTCTAAATTATACAAAAATAAAAAAAAACTGTCGCAACAATAAAATAATATGTGCTAATTTTTCTACTTGTTCATTTAATGTTCTATCGCTTTAAATTCTCATTTCCCCCAATGGAAATTGAAAATGGCATTTAGACATCAGTTTTCTTAAGGCTAGTGTTGACCCTCTGCGTCGGCAACTTCGTCGAGGATTTTTACGTGGATTTAACAGAATATTTGCGAGGGTGACCCTCGGCAGTTTGTCTTACCCCGATCCTTTCGGGTTCAATAATTTTTCGTGGTCTCTCTGCCGAAAGTTGAACCTCCAGGGGTAAAAAAAAAGGGACAGAAATGAAAAGCTCCCGTGGGACTAGTTTTATTTGAAACTCCTTTTCGGTGGTAGGTCGAGGTCGGTTTTTCAACCTTGTCCCCTCCGAGTACTCTCACCCTCTCGACATTTCTCTCCTTGCTAATATTTTCTTTTTCTCTCGACATCAAGGGTTTACGTGAGTCCAACCCTTGACCATGAGCACTTCGTCAAAGAGTTTGCATTCTCATTAATTGAATCTTTGACGACAATCTCTTGAAATTTCGCGAAAAAAAACTACCTCCAGAAATTAGTCGCATTCACTCGAATTCCCTCAGGCATTAATCAATATTCCAATTGTTGACAAATTGCAATTTTTTTATTGAACAATTGATTTTGCTTGAGAATTCGCAATTTCCACTGCGTTATCACAGTAACCCAAATTCCCTTTTCTCGATTTATCCCGAAAACTATTGATTCACGGTGAAAGTGCTAAATAACTTTTTTCTAGCTAACGAAATTTCCGAGGAAAACGGTCTTTTCGGATTTTACCGTAAAACGAAAAATTACTCCGATAAATCGATATTTAAAAAAGTTGTAAAAGTAGACTTTAGGATTTGACAAGTGAATAATGCCCTCAGAATATTTTCTCGGTGGGGAAATTCTTTTATGCACCCCCACGACCCCCGCCAAATGACTTTTCGTCTAGATGCATTGTATTTTCATTCTCCCCACAATCTTCCCGAATACGGTTGTAGATTTTCATCTTCCACGTTTGTACAGCGGAATTCATGCCGTCGTCTTAACACGACTCAAGCAGTTTACGTACGTGACTTCCCTTCATCTGGTGAATAGGTAGCAGTCGGGTTGATATCTGCCGAGTAAACGAGACATTCGGTATATCAAATGTACCCTTCATCTTAATCCTCGGTGAAAATAATATGAACCGTATCCGAATTTATAGCATTTCCCTATCTGCTTTAATTTCCAAATAGATTTTATTATTCTCTATATATTCTATTCTTCAATGACTCCCAAATTTTCCTAGTCATCCATTTTTCTAAATATTCTGTACCATTAAGAATTTTTCCAGAACTTTAATTAATAATTTATTCTCAATAATAAATAATACCTATCAATTTTATCAATTTTTTTTACAAATTTGTAATAAAACTTTAAAAAATGAAAGATATTGGTAAAAAATCGTTGAGGCCTCAGTAATTACTGGAGAAATATAATTGGAAATAATAATTTAAAATATATTTGGAAATAATTTAATAGATAAAAATTGAATAGATGGGGTTTACAGTCAGATAGAAATTCTCGTTAGCTCTAGCTCTCATTTGGACGCGACTTCTCCGAGAGAAAACGAGAGACCTCGAAGTGGATCCTCGGATAAGCCCCGGAATTTCGTACTTGGTTGAATTTGAAAGAGAAAAAACAAAGGATGACGAAGATGCACCTGGGGAGTCAAGATGTTATTGCAGGTACAGTTCTTTCTCGGGTCGTGATCCTCTCGGGATGCCAATTTACGATGCGGCTTACACTGCGTCCTGAGATCAGGATGAGATGACCACAGAAAGTCTCGTAAATATCCTCGGAAGTCACTAGAGACTTTACTATTTAATGATGAAGAGGCTCATTACTCTCAAAAAAAAGAGAACGATTTTTTTAAATAAACATTGATTCACTGAACAGAAATCATTCCAAATAAATTATATTTCTCCAGATGAAAAGTTAATCTCCAATAATTAATGATGATTATAATTATCACCTTGAATAAGCTCGAGAAATAATTATCGATATTATTTATTTAAAGACGTGTCTCAGAAAATCGCCGTCTGGAATTAATGATAATTGTTATTGCAATTTAATTGCAATTCATTCCAAATAAATTATATTTCTCCAGATGAAAAGTTAATCTCCAATAATTAATGATAATTATAATTATCATCTTGAATAAGTCCGAGAAATAATTATCGATATTATTTATTTAAAGACATGTCTCAGAAAATCGCCGTCTGGAATTAATGATAATTGTTATTGCAATTTAATTGCAATTCACTCCAAATAAATTATATTTCTCCAGATGAAAAGTTAATCTCCAGTAATTAATGATAATTATAATTATCATCTTGAATACGCTCGAGAAATAATTATCGATATTATTTATTTAAAGACGTGTCTCAGAAAATCGCCGTCTGGAATTAATAATAATTGTCATTGCAATTTAATTGCAATTTTATCGCCGGGAAATTCGTCAATTCGTGGAGTAGTTCGGTAATAATTATTGTTTGGTCTCGCTGTAGGCTGAGGTGTAAATATTGAATTTGGAAATGCAATGGAGATCTGAGAGAATCCACTGGAAATTTCAGCCACGAATTTCGAACGGTTTTATGGGAAAAAGCCTGAGGGATTGTGAGAGCTTTCTAGGTTTTGAAACTGCAGGAAACGGAGTACATGCTCGTGTGATTCCGCTTGACCAAGCGGTACTATTCCAATTTCCTTCAGTGCAATTGAAGTGCCTTTGTGTAATTTAGACTTGATTAGATTTTGAGAGGAATCGACTCAGCGAATTCTCAGTTAACAGCTGTCACTGGAATTTTCAAGTCGATATTTTTTTCAGCTAATTCGCAAATTGTCATTTCAATTATCATTTAATTATAGTTTCACTTAAATATTAAAGAATCTCAAAATTCAATAATGAGTACTTCAATTTTTTATTCAATTGTTATGTAAAATATTGCAATTTGTTTTGTTAAAAAATTAATAAAAATTCGTGGAGATTCGCGATTTTTTTGTTATAGAGTTGCTGAAAAAATGTTGGCGAATATTTTTCATCGTGCGGTTGGAAGAAATAATTTAGTCCCCCCAGTGCACTCTGGTCAGATTTTCAATCTGCGTTCACCATTCAGTCCATCCCCATAGATTTTCATGAATATTAATACAAATTCGTCTCCCCACTTCCACAAGATTAAGCCCAAAGTAACGGGGAATGGTAAAAGTTAGCCGTTGCTGGTGTAAAAATGGTGTAGAATTTTAAAGTAATCAACGGTTCTCATTCTCTCAAGTGGTGAAAAATTATGAATGTGCATCCACTAGACCTGTTCGGTACCGAGTTGTTAAAAGTGCCCGGGGTTTCACTACCAGCCAGTGATTATGAGTGCGAACGGTTAGAATTCACAGTATCCGAGGTGAAAATTTATGGAAAAATATACCGCCGTCTAGATTTTTCCGAGGGGAAATCATCTCGACGATCCCTGTATGAACGATCATTCACAGTTGATGAAAATTCCAATTCCAAAGACAGTTGCGCATTAGTTATAAAAAATATTTTTTCCATACGACTGAAAAAAATTCCCAATGACTCATTTACCCGACAAAAATATATATTTTCACAAAAATCTCATTTCCCCATATGATATCAACTAGATATTAATAATAATTAAATTAATATAGACAATAATAATCATAATAATCATAATAATCACAATAATCATAATAATCATAATAATCACGAACTTGAATAAACACCATCAATAATTACCAATATTAAATATTATTCTATATAATTACGATCAATAATAATAATAATGGTAATAATGATTATTTATGTTTATAATTAAATCATTGTTTAAAGAGTATGTTTTTTTAATGATAAATAATTAATGGGTTCAGGGGGTTATATATAATGATAGGAGTGATAATTATTGTCTTAAAAAAAAATTATTTTCGACAAGAACTAATTAAGGTAGTAAACAAATACTAATGCATAATCCTGATCTTTCACTTTTCCAGAAAGTGCTGAAAGCCAGCATTACGTCGGTTGATGATTCATCACTCAAAATTATCCTCCCCACGGATAATTGAAGGTGCGTTTGTTATCCTCGAGCAATTACCCCAGCAAACGCTGACAACTCTGGTCCGAAAGAAATCTCCAGAGAGTTGGGTCCTCTCCTCGAGGAGATAATAAATGCACGGCATGAAGGGTGAGTTTGAGAAGTTTCAATAAAAAATACATGTATTATCACGAGTGCAGAATTTACTGGGGAGAGGTAAAGTCGGATAAGCCGGATCACCATTTTTCATAGTTATCGATTCAACTACGAATTTTAGTTGGAGATAATCAAGAATTTTTTCTGATTAAATGCCCAGAAAAGAGGATTTGTCATTGCTAATAGAATAAATTAATGAAACTTCATTATTAATTTTTATGTTTTCAAACCCAACAAAATTGAAATTTAAATCATACATATTCATTCCCCAAATTTCATTGCCACTTCATGTAATTTAATTTCATGGAATTAATGTAAAAAAAATGAATAAATAAAATATTTTAAACGCATAATTTCCTGGGGTTTTCGAGATGATAAATGAGAAATCTAGGGATCGATTTCAATTGAAATTTATTTGGGATTGATGTAATTGGAGATGTAGATGATTTAGTGAGTGAAATATCTTGAAATTAGAGAGGGGATGGGACTATTGTAGGATCTTCATTGAGATGAACCCTAATTCCGTCATCAGATCATCTCGGAATGAAGCCACATGATCCAGGGGACAGGTTCATTGATAGTAACGCATAATCGATGCCCATCCATATCCCAATTATCCTCGGAATTTTCACCAACGGTGTCCACGTGCACATGGTTAACGGACTGATATGCACATATTGATATACTCATGGCAAGTGCCTATCATCGCTATCACGAATACACGAAATAGAAGTCAACGCGGTTGACATTTCACCCACCCAATTTGCAATCAAACAAATTTTTTTTTTTCGATGATACCGAATAAAACGAGGAAGAAAACGATTAAATCCCTTTGTTGATTGACCACAATAGAGTATATCGCACGTACAGTCAGATAACTGCGGTTCCATGGGTACATTGATTGGTGTGTGCAACAATTGAGGGATGATTTATATATTTTTTTTTGTTTAACATCGCGTGATAAATTCTGGGGATGATCCACAGGTTTTAATGTCAGACAAGTGTCTCTGATTTCAGTCATAACATTTTTTTTCTAATGAAACTGAATTAAAAAAAAAATATTAATTAATGAAAAGGATAAAAATAGAAGACAATAATGATAATAATAATTATTATAATTTATTCATTATTGTTTATTATTTATATTGATAATTGAATGATAATTACGATAATTAGTATCTGGGAATAAATTCTCAAATTTCTGATGCACGGAAAATTCAACAGAAGTTAAATTTTTATTTAAATTTATTGAATGATAATGATTAATTAATGAATATTGTGAGTGGAATTCCGGGGAAGTTCTCAGATGGTTATTATTCCCCGGAGATTTCCCGACTTTCGTGGAATCCGGGGATTTTCCTGGGACGTACATCGGGTCGGCTCACACACGTACCGTAACCCCTTGTTCCAAGTAATCACGCGGGGAGTAGTTACATTATTACAATCATGTGACTGAGAGATTCATGAGTTAATGTACAATGAATATAGTATAATCAGGCCTCGGAAGCATTGAATGGGAAATTGCTTTCGGATTCCTCATCCCAGAATTCAACCCACACGAATGAATGTGTACGTGTGGGTGGTTAATTAGCTCATGCAAAACAGCTGTTACGTCATCCCCGTGGTGGGGATATCCGCCTTTCTGTGTGGCGTGTTTTCGGACAGTTCGCTGTTGATATCCCCGGGATAATTCAGCCGGGACTCGTGAACTTTTTCGGCCATTCCATTTTTTTTTTCAATTTTTCCACATCTTTCGCGGGTTATCGCGTTATCGCTTCCCATGTGCATTCAAATTTTCAGGGGGTGGCGGGGGTGGTGGGGGTGGTATTCACCCCATCGTAATGCGTTATGACATCCTCACATGAATGTTGGTGTAATTATCGCTGGAAACCTAGTGCTAAGAAATCACTAGGTGAATTCCCACGGATTAAAATATTTGAGAGAATTCTATTTACTCATGATTCCGCCATTTTTACCGGTAATTACCCAAAAAATTGGAATTATTCGTGTGCGTGAAATGTGAATGATGATGAGTTTTGGATGGAGTGAAAACTCGGGGAAATTATTACGTGATCTGTCAATTGACTGCGAAATTCGCGGGAAGATATGATTTGTAAGAATTTTTGAAATTCGTACAGAATTTAATGGAAAAATGTGTATTAGTGAAATCTCAGGATGGAAGAAAAATGGAACATCCTCTTTAAAATTTTCTCGGTGCGACTCGAGAAATGAAAAATTTACGGGATATATAACTATCCTGGCGTGAAAATTACGAGAGGAACAATGAACTCCCGAGGCGCAACCCGAGACTGAAGAAATGTGCATTACCTGAATAGTAAATTTTATACTTTACACTCGCATACAGCAGATACAAATAAAAATCCCAGTAAAAATTATCAACCATACCTGATTCAGGTCTGACCATTCACAATCAATTTCCCCACTTTAATCAAATACCCTCCATAATCAGGTATTCATTAATTTTTATCTAATTACATCCAAAATTATATTCATATCCCAATCTGTACACTCAGGTATTTTTTCAGGTACATTAAACTCCCGTCATAATCACGAATTTTTCATATCAAATTTGAACCTGAAATTTATTTTTTGGGTTTATTCCCCCGGAATTCAATTCCTCAACAAACGATACAATGGATTTATATTTTATTGTTTATATATTGTAGCCCGGAGGTGTATTAGACAAGGAAAAATGAAAAATGTGAAAAAAAAGAAAATGGAGGAGCGCCTAGACTATAACGAGTGTGAACCATAAAAAAAATCTGTACATATTTTTTCAGTGTAATGTCAACTGATTCAGGCACCCCCACCCTCATTACCCCACCAATCGAGGGTGAAAATAGGTATATACCATTCGCTATCACGATTAATAACGGGATATGAGAGGATTACTCAAGTTTAAACGAAAAGTCGAAACTTTGCTGCAGCGCCGTATATATCTCCAGGGTGTTCCACTTTCGTCGCATCCAGCCGAACTATTACCATTATTCAGAAAATCCTGGGCTAGGGCCAGTGGTATTGACATGAATTAAAGCTCCACCGCCATTTTTTATGAATTCACCGATTTATTCTGCAGTAATCGGCGTGAATGAATTATCGAACGATATCTAAATCTCGCGCGATAAAATCGATAAAACGCCAGGATAATTCCATCAGTAATTTTTTAAAAATTAATTTCGTAATTGTTTGTAATTACTGGAGATGATTTGAGAATAATATATGATAATATATCGGTAATGTCTGCGAGCACTTTTAGCAAGTGTTTATTTTAGCGAATTTTTTATTTCCGCGAATATTTTCATTTAATTTTTCCCGCTGCTGTATTTTTTCCTCCTTTTTCGTGTGGTCACTCATCCACTTAGTAACCACACTCGTAAACCCATCCACTTAGTAATCACTACAGCACTGCTTAACTCCGTAGGCCTTTGAGAGTGCGCCATGCCTCGAGGGGCAATTTCCGTTTTATAATGGAGCATTATTTTATCAGAAAGTAGAAATTAATTGTGTTGTAAGTTACCTTGTCCACTAATTTGTGGCTGGAAGAAAAAATTTCCTGATAACAATAATCACACGGTTAATCATTTGCTGTACATAATAATTACGCTGATTAATACACACAAAATAATTCGGATTTTTAAATATAGTATTGTGTCAGGAGGAATTCCACCGGAAAAATAGATCAACTCTATTTTCTTCCCGCGGTGTATTACCGTAAAATAATTTTGCCTCATTTTCTGAATTATGGGGTCATAAAAAACGAAACAGCGATATAAAAGCGGAGAGGGAGAAATATGTGAGGGAAGAGGATTTCCTCGAGGATAACTTATTCCAATGGAATTATTGTCTAGAACTACTCTCCACTGTCTCCAGCAATTCATCTTGTTACACTGTTAATATTCTCAGAGGTAATGGTGCATCAGGGGAGAAAAGCAATTATACCTCAGGAGTGAAATTATGCATTCCGTCTGGAGTGAAAGAAGAGCGGAGAAATTCCTCAGGGTTTAACAAATTAGTGACATCCACTCACGAAATTCACGTCCATCCGGGTGAATTTCAAATAGCTGATCGAAATTCATTTGATATTATAATTGACACAATCTCGACTGGAGGTGAGAATGAGGGGTTGAGGGGTTGAGGGGGAATCATCGAGGGGAATTATTTTTTTGACACTGGCGTGACATTATCTTTCATTAGAGCAGAACCGACGGAGATAAAGGAAAAGGGGATGGAATGAAAGCGTCGGGAAAGGGCAGCTAGCGAGAAAAGATAAAGGAAAATAAGAATTGTTGAAAAATAGTGGAGAGGCGTCCAAAGGCGTTGGCCCAGTTTGTCTTGTCTCCAGTCTGTGGTTACAGAGAACTTGTACGAGAAATCCACAACTCCGAATCTCACCGAAACTTGGAAACTAGAAAAGGGGTATTGATTCTCAAACCAGCATATATATTGTGTTTTCAAGCTATAAGGACTCACGTGTTTTGCTCATTGCCCCACCATTTTCTTCAGAAAGGTTACGTAATGGGAGCCACCAACGACGCGATGTTTTTCTGTCGGGAATTTCTCCGGAAGAAACCTCCATGAATCAAAATATATCGTCGGGGTTTTCCCGTTAGAGAGTATTATCCCAATGAGCTAAAAATGATAAATTATAAAAAAACTATAAAAATCGAATAAATAATATCTAAATGCAAGGATTATTTATTATTTTTTCAAGAAAAATAATTATCTTTCTGGGTACCCTACCTCGTCAACAACTAATATGAGAATTTTTCCGGTGTGAACTACCCGCATGGTTCGTTACGTAAAATTCTCATGGGGCGAACAAAGACGGGTCTTGAAGGAAATTATAAAACAAAGAAGGGTTCAATAAGTTGCAATTAGCAGGGATGCATGGGCGATGCACGGTTGAGACTGACAGGTGAGTCGAGTAATAAAGTACGAGCAAATAACGACGATAAGAGGGTGAACGAACATGG